AAAAGGGCTGTGTCCCCCCAGAGCTGTTCCTTTAGGTCCCTGCTGACCCATTGCCTCCTCAGTTCCTTTTTGCCAGAGATTCTGACAGAAGGGAAGGTGGGTGGGTCTTGGAATGGATGAGCAACATCTCAAAAGAACAAATATAAGAAAGTGGCTAACCATTTTTTCTTCAAGTGCTTGATCACATCAATTCAAAGTAGGTTTTTCCCCAAAAAGATTGGAGAGGTGGACGGAACTCATGGATTTGCTGACTGAAGCACCTTGGCATACTGGAGGATAGCATGATACAAAGTGAATGTATGTATTGGGGACCAAATCACTGCTCTGCAAATCTTTTGTATGGGGGCTTTGTGCCAGGAAAGCAGCCAAGGAGGCCTGAGCTCTTTTACAATGCCCTGTCAGCATCAGGGCTGGCACTTTAGCCACCCACAAAGCATCATATTTATGACTAATTTATTTGGGATGATACAAAGGGCCCTTCATCCTGACCACTACGGCAACAAATAGCTGGTTAGACTTCTGGAACAGTTTTAACTTTTAAATATGAAGACCAGAGTCAGCTTCCCGTTCAGGCAATAGTCTTTGTTCCCCACTGTTGGTATGGGCAACTGTAATTGTAAAATACTGAAAGAAAAATATACTAACTTGTATGAAAGTGCGATACCACCTTGGCAGAAGGGCTGGATGAGGCCACAAGTGGACTTTTTCTGTAGACCGTGTATGGAGGTTCATATGCCAAGGCTTTGATCTCAGACATCCTCCAGGCTAGTTATCGCCACCCAGAATGCTACTTTCCACAAGAGATAGAGAAGCATGTTGCTAAGGGCCCAAGGGAGGGCCTATTAAACTGGAGAGTACCAGGTTAAGATCCTAAACTGGTACTGAATGACAGACCAGACAGTATAATCCAATGGTAGGTAACCTGCGGCTCGAGAGCTGCATGTGGCTCATTGGGGTTCTCTGTGTGGCCAACATGACACTTTCACCACTGTTCACACACAAGGCTTGCAAGATTCTGTTGGTTTTCATCTGCACAGGTTTTTTTCCCTACCAGTATTACAAAAGTGACGTACTTAAAGCAAGGGAGCATGAAGTGAGCTGCATGCTGATTGCACACAACACTGAGAGCTGTGAACTCTCTCTGCATCCAAAGTGCTGCTACAGTTCAAACAGCACACCCTGCAAATTCTAGGCATGCCAAGGGCAGTTAGCAAGACTACCCCCTCTAAGAAGGCTGTCTTGGATACGACAATCTTGTGGCCCAGAGATTGAGGGCCACTCATGCAGCCCACTTGCTAGCCTAGGAAGCCCCTCATTAGTATAACCTGTCCAGGCCCTTGAGAAAATGAACTACTATGAGGCTAGCGAAAACTGACAGATCATCCATGCCTGCCAAGGTGGCTGCTAGGTGAAGCTTTCAGAGTGATACCACCAGACCTGACTACTTCAAGACCAACAGATAGTCTAAGATGAAGGATATTGATGCTTGAGTTGAAGATGTGCTTGTGTCACCCAGGGTTTAGGGGATGGCTTTTGACTGACTAACTAGGCCTAACTTCCTGATCGGTTCAGAACTAGGATGTTAAATTTAATTCAATCAACTAGTCAATAGATTTAACCAATGCTTAACTAGTCGATAAGCAGGGGAGCTGCAGTGGGGTTAGCTCTCAGACCCAGGAGCTAACCCTGCTGAGGCACTGCCTTTTAAATGTACTGAGAGCCAGGAAGCTCTTAAAACATTTCAAAAGCAGAAGCGCAGCTTCTGGGACTCTGCACAAGCCGGGAATCAGCTGATTCCTAGCTTGCACCTGGTCCCCGCTACCCCCCCCCCCAAGCACCGGCTCCCCACCCCTTCCTGCCTGTGTCGCTGACAAACAGAGAGGGGGGGGGGGGGGGGGGGGGGGGAAAGCCATTAGTCATGGGTAAGGATGTTAATGACTAGTCAAGTAGTTGATGGAATTTCCACCCACTTCTCAACAAACACTTCCACATTCCTCGCTTGAAATGTACAAGAGCTCCCTCTGGGGCTCTTGTACATTTCAAGGGAGGAATGTGGAACTCTGTGCACAGCCCAGGGCCAACGGGAAGTCCCACTGACTCTGGACTGCACGCTTGTGCCAGCTTTGAAATGCACAAGTATCCTCAGTGGTGGTTCTTGTGCATTTCAAATTGGCAGCGCAGCATGCAGCCAGGGGTCAGCTGTGAGGGGCTGCCCCACTGAACTTTGCCTCGGCTCAGCTGCGCTGTGCTGCCGCTTTGAAGTATCCCCTCTTCCCCCCCCTCCTTTGCTGCCTCTGATAGAGGCAGCAGTGGGGGCAGGGAGGAATCAACTAGTCGACTAACTATTCAATACACATTTGCTTATTGGATAGTTGACTAGTCCTTCACATCCCTAGTCATGGGACTAAGTCAGCTATCCAACAAGCTTTTGCTTACTGGATAGTCAACTAGTCACTTACATCCCTATTCAGAAGATACCAACACCATGAAATTTACACATGAAGCTTCCATGTTATGAAGTGGGGAGACTCAAGGTTGGGATGATGGAGGCATATTGGGTGATGAAATCTAGCACCAACAGCACGGTGTTCTCAGTGGCTACTAAATTCCAGGAGTGATATGTACCAGGGATGGTAGCCAGGCAGATACTAGCAGAATGACTGACATGCTGTCCCTTCTGATCTTGTGAATAAGCAGGAAGGGTGGGAACACATCTTTTGACACTTCCTATTCCCTTTCATTCTAAACAGGTCCACTTGGGGAACTCACACCACTGAAGGAAGCTGCTCACGATGTAAGGGAGAATCAGCCACTCATGGCAGGATGTGCTGATAGGCTGCACGCTCATTTTGGGATCCCAGAAGGTAAGACACCTTCAGTTTATTGAGCGTGCTATGCAGAAGTCCCACAGCTTGAGGGTTTCCTGGAATAGGGGAGAGAAGCATGGTCCACAATATCTATTTACAGAAAACAACACTGTTGTATTGTCAGTCATGACCAATACACACCTGCCCTCCAGATGGGATTGAAAGCTTTGATAGGCTAAGTGAACTGCCCTCAATTCTCTCATGTTGATATGGAGCAAGATTTTTGTTTGAGACCAGTGGCCTTGCTCCCTGAGCACCTCTATCTGCGCATCCCACCCTAATGGTGAAGAATCTATGGATCAACGGCTGTGGTCTGGAGAAGGGCACTCCTATGCAAACCACCAAAAAGGTTGAGCCACAGCTGGAAGGGATTCATCAACCTGAGGAGAAAGCAAGAGAAACTACCTTGTCTAAGCTATGCCTACTTGGGCAATACACTGATGCCAACCATGTCCGAAGGGCTCCGAGCCAGAGAATCGTGTGTTTGGACTACATATTTTCAAGTGGTCATGTGATCAAGCAGCTGTGTTGTCATGATGGAGAAATGTTTAAAGTGCTCCATAATGGAGTACATAGTCTGGAAGCATGACTGTCAGCAACAGCCTGACTTGGGTGGAGTCTTGAATTTTTTAGGCCACTGGAGTCCATCTCCTCTGAAAATAACCGCAAGCCATCAAAAGGGAAGTCCTATATTCTCTGCTAGACCTGTAGGGGCAGGCCTGAGACTTAAAACCATGAACTGCTATTCATGGCAATGGCAAAAGACATTGTTCATGAGGCTGAGTTCACCACAGCCATGAGGAGTTACTTGAGCCTGAAATCCCTTTCCTTTTTAGTTCTAGGGCAGAATCCTTTGCAGCTGCTGAAATCATGTGTTTCATTTACATCTCCCAGACATTTTAGGCAGAAGTTGTGGTTACTACTCTGCAGCATGGGCTTCTGGCAGGTCCTGCACGATTTAAACTTCAAACCCATGGGTTGTTTCATGTCAGAGATCCAAGTGAGGAAAACCCCACCCCCAGACAGGGAAATGTCTGGTCTGAGGAACGAGCAGCTGAGTTGGTCTCTAGCTTGTTCTGCACCTCCAGGAGGGATAAGGCTTGAAGGTATCAAATTAGTGATGCAAAATTCCCAGAGCTCTAGGGCTTCTCTACACAAGGGAGAGGAGTGAGCACCACCCTAGTTGTTTATATAAAACACTGCCGACATATTGTGAGTACCATCACACAGTCAGCTTGTATGTGTCTATTCAAGGCTTGGAATGCCACCTGAACTGCCTTGAGCTCCAGTACATTGATGTGGTTATAGACAGATCTGTCCCTCCATAAGTCCTGATTTCACCCAACTGTGCCACCCAACCTAGCACTAAGATATCAGTGACCAGCACCATTGTGGGTTGTGGCTTGGCAAAAGGAACTTCCACACAGACTGCCATTGAAGCCATCACTGTAGTGACTGGAGGACAGGCAGTAAGGGAGGTGACATGAGCACCTGCACTAACCATATGTAGAGGGGTCTGAGGCATGGCTTTGAGTGCTGAACTACATATGTGCATGACACCATGTGTCCTAACAATCTCATGCAATTCCTTGCTGCTGTTGAGGAATTGGTAATGCATTGGTTTGAAACTGGGCCTCGGACCGTGTTATCTATGAGGGCCACTATTAACTCAATGTTTTGTGTAGGTATCAAGGTGGATTTGCGTATGTTCAGAATAAGTCACTGTCTTAGAAATGGGGCACGGGTATGGGGCACATTCTCTGAAGCCTGCTCTCATGATTTGGCCTTAATAAGCCTGTTGTCCAGTTACAAACACCTGCACGTGGTGATTGTGTAGAAAGACTGACATCACTACCATGCATTTTGTGAATACCTAGGGGGGCTGTTGAGAGGCCAAACTGGAGCATGCTAAACTGGTAGAACTTGTTCCCTACCATAAACAGAGAAACCTTCAGTGGGCCAGAATGATGGACATGTGAAAGAGTATCTTTCATGTTGAGGGTGGTGTACAGTCCCCTGGATCCAGGGAACAAATGGTGGAAGCCAGGGATACCATCTAGAAACTCACTTTACAAAGTAATTGAGTTCTTGGAGGTTGAGGATAGGGTGCAGCCCATGCTTGGCACTGAGCACAAGGAAGTAATGAGTAAAAATCCTTGCCCCAAAATGTTTAAGAAACCTACTCTATTGCCCTTAGAGCAAGAAACAACTGCACCTTCTGTAAAAGCAGTTTGTGAGAAGGGTTTTGAAAAGGGATGGGGAAGTATCCCAGCTCTGCGCTGCTCAGAAACCAGTGATCTGAAGTAATCTGGGTTCAGGCATGGTAGAAGCAGGACAACTGGTTCACAAATGGGTAAGGATCTGGGAAAGTAACTGATGTCCATCCTTGGGCACACCTTCAAAAACTGGATTTTGAACCCTGTGGTTGCTTCAAGGTGTCCTGCCCTTAGCCAGACGAGGAAGACGACGACTGCTGTCTCCTATTATTCCTTCCCCTACACTTACTGATGTCCTGCCTGCGCAATTCAGCATAAAATGGCTCGGGGGCTGGGACTAAAAGGGTTTTCTCTGAGGTGCAGGTGTGTGAATCCCCAGTGTCTCAAGTGTGGCCCTCAAGTCCTTCAGACTGTGGCAAATACAGACTCCCATTTGCACAAGTAGTCTTGCACAGTCAAAGGGTAGATCCTGTATAGTATGCGTGACCTCGAGTGATACCAGACACTGTTGTGCATCACATGTGGCTACAATGCCAGTGACCATAGTGCAGGCAGCAAAGTGTGCAAAGTCAAGAACTGCTTATAAGGAAGGTACTCGAGACCCCCTTGTTCTTCTCCAGCAGTGTCCCAAACTCCTGTCTGGAGTATGCTGGGAACAGTTTCTGAAACTTAGATAGAATGCTCTACATGTTAAATGCATATCAGCTGAGCACTGTCTGTTGGTCTGCCACAGGTAGCTGAAGTCTCTCTCGCCCCTCCCTCCAAACAGCCCTCCTGGACAAATAGGTCTAGTTTCTCAGCCTCCTTAGATTTTTATGTGGGGCCAGCTGGCCCTGACACTCCTTATCATTGTCTGCATGTACCATACAAGTTTACAGTTGTGGGTGGATAAACAGGTGCTCTTAGTCAACTTGAGGCACAAAGTATCTCCTCTTCACTCCTTTGGCTGTTGAGGCTATGGAGTCTGGAGTCTGCCAGAGCACCTTTATGGTGGTGGTAATGGTTTTGATGAGGGGCAAGGAGGATGTCAACCACTGTGTCCACTCCTCTATTACCTTGTTAGCCTAAAAATGTTAATTCTGGGCCACTCTATGAAAGGGGTCTGTCCCTTCATGTTCATAACTGGCAAGGAAGAGGTGTAAGTCCCAGCCACTGCCTCAGCTACAGATGAAGATGATGAGGCTAGAAATATTGGGTCATTCTGGCTCTGATTCCCTAGAATCTGCTACTTGTTGGGCCTCTGGTTGTGTCCACACAGGCTGTGTCTGCGCTGCTTGGGGCACACGTAGGTCTCCTGCAATTGTTGGCACTAGCACAATGTCCTTCCACTGTTCTAGAGCCCCTGTAGGTTGCTGAGGTAAGATGTGACCCTGATGCTGACGGTCTGGGGGTGCTCCATGAAACACTGAGGCAGTTCTAGAGTCCTGCCCTTGAGTCTGATGGTAGCCCCATGGAGTCCAAAAGTGAACCGCCCCTTGCCTCTGTGGCAGTCAGGAGACCATTGGTGCCAGTGGGTCACGTGAGCTATGGTGATCCAAGAGCTGCTAGGAAGGGTGCCGGGAGCATGATATATAACTGCTCCATCCAGAGACTGAAGACTCCCTTAAGTCTGAGGAGTAGACAGAGGCTAACCCCAGCCATGTGGGGCTTTTCCATGCCAGGGATCAGCATCAAGGAAACTGTGATTGGTGCTGCATGGTAATGGTCTTTCCTTGCTTCTGGATTGGGAGGGGGGATACTGCAATTAGTACCACAAAGATCGTGGGTGGCTGGGAACTAATTTTGGTCCACCTTCTTTTTGTGAATCACTGGGGAATGGGATCAGTGCCTTGTGCTTGTACCCTGCTGGTGTGCAGGAAAGCAATGACTGTGCCCTCACAAAAAGTCCTTCCTTCAGCACCGAGAGGTCCTGCACTGAGGCTAGTGCACTACTGGAAGTGGTCAGTGCTGATCTTGCAGGTTGAGGCTGGAATGCTGCCTCCATGAGGAATCTGAGATGACAGTCCCTCTTCCATTTGTAGAAGTTTCAGATCCAGGACCAAAAAGAACACTTGTCCATTTGATATTCTTCTCCCAGGCACTTCACGTGGATCACCTTGTAAAAGCTTCCCGCAGCTTATACAGGATTCAAACCCGTGACCACTGGATGCCCTGATCTGGGAAGTGAAGTGTGGCAGAAAACCTCAAATCCAAAAGTTACTAATACTTGCTACACTCCTTATAACTACAACTATAAGAAGAACCAGAACTACTGAGGAAAGAGACCACCAGGGTAGCGCTTGCCTCGCAAGGGCAAGAAGCTCCAAGGATCGTCACTGGCAGTAAGAAAGAAGCGAGCAGGTGGCAGAGCGGCAGTTGCTATACACACCACGATACGGGTACCACTGCAGAGGGATGCACAGCCAACCTGACTGGGTACCTCTAGGGAAAACATTCCAATGATTGTGAATGCAGCATGCATACACCCTTAACAGAATGGATATGAACACCTGAATAAGCCATACCCAAAAGGGTGAACAAACTGGAGTGGGAGGACCCACGCCCCCAAATACAAATTATATGCTAACTTAACTATAACTATTTACAGATTGAAGTTTTAGTTAAGTAGATACATCAATCACTAGAGGAAACAGTTGCCAAAGCAAAAAAGAGAAAGAGAATTTAAGTACAAGACAAGAGAACAGATGATACAGAGGATTAGAAGGGAACAACAAAACAGTATTGGTCTGCATGACCAGCAGAGATCTCAGCAGTTTAACTGTCAAATATTGCATAGACTAATGAGACAATGGTTCATACCTTCCCATCGAGTATAGTTTCCCATGTTGCTCTTTTCTTGCTAATTGGACACTCTTCCATTTCCTGCATAGCTACTTCATATTCCCCATCCAGAAGCTGCAAGCGTCTGTACACACAAAGTACCATTTTATTCAGTATGCTGAAATATATTCATTTGTTGTGTTTGTGTTTAAAGTGTCAAATATATTTCAGTGAAACTTAACATGTTAATTTCTCTCAAAATACTTTTTGCATGAAACTAATGCAAGCACCAATATAAGAATTTACAACTGAGCCTGCATCTCAGCTAAAACAAAAACTATGATGAAAATTGGATACCAAATGCCAAAATAGGACTAAAAAAATCCTACACAGAGAACAAAAAGTAGTACCATATGTAACACAAGGAAAAAAGTGTTAAATACAAAAGTGAAAACCTTCATGTACATGAAAAACATACACCAAATGTCAAAAAAATACACAAATTATCTATGTTCTAATATGAGATGTTCTAGTCAGTTAAATAGGTATACCAAGAGATCAGGATGCCTAAAACTGAAGAATTTGTCCCATTCTGCACCAATACCATTTTCAGAAGTCGATTTTCAAAGACAGTTGATATAATAAATGAAGGTCTCAAAAAAGCCCACAGAACACCTCTCTGCCTTCACTGGATCAGACAATTCAAGCACAATACAGTAAACTTCCGATAATCTGGCACCTTTAGGACCCAGGGGGTGCCAGATTATCAGATATGCCGGACTATCGGAAGGGGCGGCTATGAGGGGTCTGGAGTGGCATCCCACCCAACCCAAGACCCCCTCATAGCCCCCCCTTCCGATAGTCCGGCTCTGCCCCAGGCATCCCTGATTCAGCCGCTGCTGGTCAGTTTCAGCAGCGGCTGAATCGGGGACACCTGCAGCAGAGCAGCTAGAGTGCTGCCAGGTTGGTCCGGTAGCGCCGACCCTTGGTGCGGCGAGACCAACCCGGCAGCACCCCAGCTGTCCCTGATTCAGCCGCTGCTGGTCAGTTTCAGCAGCGGCTGAATCGGGGACACCTGCAGCAGAGCAGCTAGAGTGCTGCCAGGTTGGTCCGGTAGCGCCGACCCTTGGTGCGGCGAGACCAACCCGGCAGCACCCCAGCTGTCCCTGATTCAGCCGCTGCTGGTCAGTTTCAGCAGCGGCTGAATCGGGGACACCTGCAGCAGAGCAGCTAGAGTGCTGCCAGGTTGGTCCCGCAGCCCCGAGGGGCAGCGCTATGGGACCTACCCAGCAGCACTCCAGCTGCTCTGCCCCCAGCTTCCCAGATTCAGCCGCTGCTAAAACTGACCGGCGGCTGAATCGGGGAAGCTGGGGGCAGAGCAGCTCCAATGGTCCGGCTGCCCGGAGCACTTCCAGGTTCCTGATGGTGCTGGATCATCAGGAGTGCCGGACCGTCAGATGCCGGACCATCAGAGTTTTACTGTACAATGCTTTTTCCCTTCTGTTCAGACACTACCAATGTAAGTATGGACAATGCCAAAATATGTTCATTAGATAATCCATAAGCATTTCACATGAAACTATTAATCTCAAATCAGTTGCAAAAGTTCAACTGAAGATTTCTACAGAAAAATATTTTAAGTTAACCGCTGTCACTCGTTAGAACAGCAAGGAGGAGCAACAAAGTAGTGGCCAGGATATAGTATAGTTGAAAACATTTAATAGCGCCACAAGTTTGATAGCTGATCGTATACAGAAACACCAACTAAAGATTTATCAGAATCAATCTATAGCAAACTAGCTTGCTGCACAGTGAAGTCCCACACTCTTGCTCTTACTACACTTTAGTAGCCAAAGCACAGTAATGCCCCATGTAGATAAGCCCTAAATATTTTGTAATGTCAAAATACAATCCCATTAACTCACTGCCTAGCAAGACATTTTGCTTTTCATAGTTCTATTATTTTCACTGGCCACATTCCAACTCCTAACAAGAGCATGTAAAGTTGCAAATGCATAATCAAATAAACAAAACTTTAAAAACAGCTTACTAAATAGCCAAGTGCTACTTGAATGTATTCAAACTATTTTATCAGTATTCTATATGAGAATCATGCCTAAGAAAACACTGTTGCCTGTATTTTTAGACATCTCAGCATTCTACAGTCCCTTAATAGCTTACTATTGTCTTGGAATAGCCTTTCCTTTTGCCTTTAGATATGAAACATGTTACCATAATTGAATGGCTCCAACAGTCATGAATGTTATAAGTGGAACAAGTAAACCATCAAAGACCTTTAAAAACAAGGCATCTGATGAAATAGGTTTTACCAACGAAAGCTCATGATTCTACATATTTTGGTTAGTCTATATGGTGCCAAAGAACTATTTATTTTAAAATTATAGATTAATAGAGCTACCCCTCCATTAAAGACCTGTTTGTTCTGCTCCTTGATGGTATTTGGTAAACCACTAAATGATCCATCATTACTCCATTAAAAAAATAGAAAGGTTTTGATAACAGAAATAGGCAAGGAAAGAGAAGAGAAACAGGGAACACACAGAAGACTTTAACTAGAGGACTGAGTATTAAATATTTGCCTATTCTGGATATTGCATCACAAACAGTGATTAAAACACTTGCCACAAATGATTAATATAAATGATTAATTTGTGTTTTATGGAAAAAATTCAAAGGAAGTGTAAGTTGCTATAACTGGCAACTCTAATTATGACTCTCCACATTACTATGCAGTTTTTGAAAAACCCTAACCCTCACCCTCCTCTGCTGTCCTGACTCCTGCCCTTCTCACTGCCCTTGGCCTTCCTGAGACCTGCCCCCCTCCACCAGCCCTTCTCTCCCCCCCATGCCCACTCCTCCAGTAGCCCCACTCTGATCATGTGAACTACCCCTCATCCCCTCTCCTAAAACCTCCCTCTACACACCTGCCCTGCCTCTCTCCTCTGGTGCTGGTCCCTCCCCTGCAGGTATCTGCCCTTCTGCTTCACCTCCAGAATCCCTTGGCACCTGCTCCCTCCTGGTGCCTCCCTCACCACCCTCTGCCCCTGTTCCCCATATGCCCCTGTGCCCTCAGATGCCTTGCTCCATCCCCACCTTCCTCATGCCCACCCTTTCTTTCAAGCCTTCTCCCAGCACCTCTCCCTCCAGCCCCCACTGCCCTTACCCTCTCCTCCTAGCATCACCCTGTCCCCCCTTCCTGCCCTTTCCTCATTGTCTGCACTTGGCCCCCTGGCATCTTTGTCTCTCCTGCACCCGTCCCTTGGTGCCTTTCCCTTTTTTCTTCTCCTGACCTCCTCCCCTCCCCTCAGCACAAGCCCCTTCCCCATATTTTTCCCCTCCCCTCCCTTCCCCTCTCCACAGCCCAGCACAGCCTCTTCCCCTCCCCCAGGGCCAGCTCTGGGTTTTTTGCTGCCCCAAGCAAAACATTTTTGGCCGCTTCCCCCCCACCCCCCGTTTTTTGCTGTCTTTTACACGTTTGCATTTTGCAATGGGTTTTTGTTTGTTTTTGCTTTTGTCCCGGCATTTTAGCCCTATAAATAGCAAATAGCATTTCATTCTTTTTTTCCCATAAAGGCAAAGGCGCTTCAGGTGAACTCCCCCTTTCACTCGCCGCTGGGTGACAGCAACCTTTTCCCTGCCCTGTCCAGCCCCTCCCTATGGAAAAGCACCCTTCACTCCCGACCCACAGGGGGAGCAGGGTGCAGGGACAGCACAGAGCCAGAGGGGTGCAGGGAACAGTGGGGAGGTACGAGGGTAGCGGGGAACGGGAGGCACAGAGCCAGAGGGATGCAGGGATCGGGGGGAACAGGGTGCAGTGGAGGTACGGGGAATGGGACGTGGGGAACGGGACGCAGAGGGATCAGGGTCTAGGGGCAGTGCAGTGAACAGGCAGCACAGAGCTGGGGGGGCAGGGTGCAGTGGAGGCACAGGGAATGGGAGGAGCAAAGGGATCAGGGTCTAGTGGCAGTGCAGGGAATGGGCAGCACAGAGCTGGGGGGCAGGGATCGCGAGGGGAGCAGGGTGCGGGGTGCAAGGGCAGCGCAGAGCCAGAGGGTCGCAGGGAAGAGGGAGAGCAGGGAGTCAGGAGTGCAAGGAAGGCATGTGGAATGGGCGGCACAGAGAAAGGGGGCTGAGGCCGTGGCAGGACTGGAGCCGGTGGGGTGGAGCCTGGCTGCACCGCGTGCCGCAGCCAGCTCCCAGGGACACACAGCCAGAGCCGAGCTACCGCAGCCCTTTAAAATCCGAGGGTCTAGTGGCAGTGCAGGGAATGGGCAGCACAGAGCTGGGGGGCAGGGATCGCGAGGGGAGCAGGGTGCGGGGTGCAAGGGCAGCGCAGAGCCAGAGGGTCGCAGGGAAGAGGGAGAGCAGGGAGTCAGGAGTGCAAGGAAGGCATGTGGAATGGGCGGCACAGAGAAAGCCAGAGCTGCACACAGGGAGCCCGGCGCTGAGAATCACTGCACTTCCCCCTTCCTGGCAGGCGCTCTGCTCCTCCGCCAGCCGGCAGATTGGATGGGGCCGCACCGTCCATAGTGCGGGCTTTGGCCAGCCTGTCACAACGACCCACTGGGCCAGTCTGCCCCTGCACTCACCAGCTGGTAAAATCTACTCACCATGGGCCAGCAGGCAAGTGTATTTGTCGAGCCCTGTACTCACTTATGTTTACAATAGTTCTGCTGCAAGACAGAATTTACTGCTTGTCAAGTAAGCCCAATTCATAGAAAAGTTGATACAGATTGCATCCTCTCTAAACCAAGACCAGAGAGCTCTGGGGCCTCAGCAGCCCTCAGCAGTGGAGCTGGGCCCAGTGGCAGGGAGGAATGGCTGGTTAGAGGGCCAGTAGCAGGGCACCTCTCCTATCCAGCAAATTCCCTCATTTGGGACCAGTCGGGTCCAACCTGTATTAATGAAAGAGAAAGTATTTCTGGGGAAGTAGCAAGCATTTTCTTTCATAATTTGAGTTTACCTAATCTGAAAAATGTTTACCAAGATGAATTTTGAATACATAAATAGAAAATAGCTACCATTTGTAAAGGAAAAGTAAGTAGAAAGTAAAGCGGTACTAAATAAGAAATACACAATGTGACAAGGTCAGGCCAGAGGGCTGCTACGGGGGGGGGGGGGGGGGGGGAGGTCCCAAAAAGGGTAAAAGGCCTGCTAATTAGAGGCAGAGGGCTGCAGGGCAATTAGGAGCAGCTGGTAGGGAGCTGGCCCAGGCAGACTGGGGCTAGCTAACTCCACTTCAGACCTGCTGGAGGTCTTTAAAAGCCTTCCCAATCAGAAGATGGGAGAGAGTAAGAGGATGGGGGGGGACAGGTAGAGAAGAGGGGGAGACACAAAGACAAACAACAAGACATTGAGACAAAGTTTGAGCAGTTATTGAACTAGAAACTGCGGTGGAGGGAATCTCTGAAGGTGTGCTTGGGTTCCCTACCCCAGAAACCAGCTGCAAGCTCAACCTCTGACAAAGGCAGGGAAGGCTGCCAGCCCAAATGCTGGTCAGGTGTGATGCATAGCAATTTATTCCAACTTAACATACACAAAACAATATGACAATTTATATTTAGAAGGAGAGTTTTGTATTCAATACTTATATGGTAGGTAGTTATTTATTATCAGATATTCCACTGATGAAACAGGGAGGCAATACTGAATCTGAAATTTAACTTAAGAACTAAGTGTTTACTATCAAATGAAAAAAGACTCTTTTTGCTTCAAGTGGATAGGAATTGGCTAAATACAAGAGGCAACCAATGCAAGACAAATCCAGATTTCCAAAATTGGGATGCAACTAATAGAATTCTACCAGCTCTTTATTCTGAATGCAATTACTACTTTTTACCTTTCACATAAATCTTATATAGCATGCACAGTTAAATCAGAAGACTTCATAAATCCATTGAAGCTACTTCAAATACTAATGGTGAACTCCAAACTCAATCTTCTGTTACAACTAAAACCTTGATAGTGCTTTGGAGCAAAGTATCATCTCCAATAAACCAGAGCCTTTGCATTTTCTGTCAGTATGGAAGTTCCAAACAATAACTTTCTTCTGTAAAAACATTCAAAATGAATACCTAAGGCAGCAGAATGTGAACAGGAACTCAGAATATGTTTAACTAGCATAAGAGACCTCACTTCTCTTTTAAGACTATCACCCTAATTGCTATAACCATTTATTCAAACAAGTAACAAAAACTAAACATGAAACCAGATAGTGATACTTGCCTAGCAATGGTTTGGCTTCAAAATAAGTTAAATCCCTTCAAAAAAAAATTTCTGAACTTTCATAGTCATGGACTCATTACTGTTTTCTCTCCGATGAAGCTGATGGAGTGGTCCTAAGTAGGGATGTTAAGTAGTGATTAAATTGCTAGTCAGGTTTATGATAGAACTTCCATCGACTACTCGACTAATCATTAAGGAAAGGCACATAAAGCGCCCACTTATGGCTCACGCTGGGCCTCAGCACAACTCCCAACTGCTGCCCTGCACTCTTAAAGAGGCAAAGAGGAGCGGCGCACAAACATGCTGACTCAGTCTCTGGTCCCCTGCCATGTCTCAGGACAACCCTCCCCAGCACTGCTATTCTGCATTCTGAAAGAAAGGGACAGAGCAACAGCAGCCAGTCCCATGGGGGTTTCTCAGCAAACATCTCCCCACGCCACCCCCTTGATGCCACTCTGCAGAGTGGTAATGGAAGTGGGCAGCTTCTGCTGAGACACAAGCAGGACTGGCTGCTGCTGCTGCTGTCCCTTTCAGAATGCAGTGTGGCAGCGTAGGGGAGAGTTGTCCTGAGAGCTGGCGGGATACCAGAGACTGAGAGCATCTTTGTGCGCTGGCTCCTCTGTCCCTTTAAGAGTGCAGAGCAGCTGGGGGAAGGAAAGAAGGGGAGTGATCGAGAAGTCTATAGTGCTACCTAATAAGCTCTTGCTTATTGGGTAGTCAACTACTCCTTCACATCCCTAGTCCCAAGTTCAGTTGCAAGTTTTACGGCAACCTCCAAAGAAAAACCTATTCTACATCTTAACATTCCTTAGAACGTTCTCTTATGTGATCAGTCTTCAACAGACACACACACTGCCTGTCACATCCCTTTCTCTAAACAGACAGTGAAGAATAAAATTAACTATTCAGTTCACAAGACTGAGCTGAATGATTAATTTCTCTCTTCAATGGTACATGTAATCCTGAAATTACAATCAGATATTCCTGCTCATCCTGGACATCACAGGGAAATAAAACTGTATAGACTTTTTGGCACACTTTTGGAATTCTTCTTGGGTAGCCAGCCTATTCTTGAAGTAGAGGAAGCTGAAGAATGTGGTAATGAGGAGCGTGACGGCAAGTTGGGGTTTCCCCCCATCCTGCACCCCCGTAGCAACCAGAACAGTCTCCACCAGCCAGTAGAATAGAGGGGGGGTTTATTGATTTTCCAGAATACAGCACAGCACAAATGTGATGTGGCTACCGGGGGCAGGGCCAGGACGGCTCTGGCCCCTAGGATTAGGCTCCATCACCCCTACCCCCAGCTTAGCCTGTACTCTCCATGCTTCCCACACAGCAACTGCCTCCCCGCAAGGGCCTGCCACCCAGCCAGGTGGTGGTCTACACCTTCCTCCCTTTGTCTCTCTCCCTGGGAGGCTGAACCTAGGTGTCTGGGTTAATACACATTTGGGTGAGTCAGTGAGAATCACATCATAGCGCAGGGAGACACCAGGTTACAGAGCAGACAGCACCCCCACTACGCCACAAGGAGCTATGCAGAGGGTGACATTGCAGAAATATGTGAAGTTGAGAAACAGGAATCAATCATAAAGCAGTGTTCTCATCCAGGGGAACACACGTTCCTGGAGGAATGCAGAGGTGTTCCAGTTAGGGATGTTAAATTTTGATTAACTAATTGATTAACTAACTAATCGAATAGTTGATGGGATTTCCATCGACTATTCAATTAATCGATAAGGACTAGTGCGGCATTCCGCCTTTGAAATGTGTAAGAGCCCCAGCAGGGGCTCTTGTACATTTCAAATCAGAAGCACCCACATGGAACCTGGGATCTGGAGGAGGGGGGACTCCCCGCTAGTCCTAGACTCCATGTGGGTGCTTTCCATTTGAAATGTACAAGACCTCCCCCAGCAGGGACTCTTGTACATTTTAAAGTTGGAACACTGCTGCTGCACTGCTGCTGCACGGAGCTGGAGGGAACCCACTTTTAAGCCAGCTGCCCCCAGCTTCTCTTTCCACTCCTCCCCTCCCCCGCTGCCTCTTTCTGATAGAGGCAACAAGTTGGGGGGAGGGGGAAGAGACGACTAGTCAATTACATCCCTAGTTCTAATGGGGTACCTCAACTCATCTAACTATGCCTAGTTTCATAGCAGGCAACATAAAATGCACTAGCAAAGTTAGTACAGACTAAACCTTCATACAGTTATTTCTTTATACTGCTTTGTGTGTTCTACACTGAAATGCAAGTACAACATTTATATTCTTGCCAAGGTGGTCCAGCAGGTGAACTGAATGTTTTAAACAGAAGTCTCAAAGTCTCAGGGCTCCTTGGCAAAGGGAAGAGAAGCATACTCTATTTGATACAGGACGTGTCATCAGTCACGACCAATACATATTGACCTACTAAGTGATCTTGAAAGGTCTGATAACTGCGCACCCAGCTCTTACTACATTTAAACAACAGAGCCTAAGTGTGGGTAGCAAGTGCCCCTCCCGCCCCACATCGACTAATCGAGTAATTGATGAAAATTCCATCAACTACTCCATTAGCTAATTAACCACTACTTAACATCCCTATATTTGCAGGTACAGTAAAACCTGTGTTATCACACACGCTCGGGGATTAGGGTGTTCAGGGTATCTAAAAATTCCAGTTCTGAGGGTCCCATCAATCTAGGAAAGAACAATGGACTCAAGTTTTTAATATTGGTAGTTTTGTAGTGTGAGGCAGTTGGTCTCACATTTCTATTTTGAGTTAAGGATGATTAGATTAGTACTTCTAAAATAAAATATTGTTAAGCCAATCATGGTAAACCAAGCCAGGCCTGTGCGCCTGAAGATGTGACAGTATTGTGGCTAGGGGCAATGCTGGTTAAAGTTTGCTGGTTAACAGAGTGCCAGATAACAAAGGTTTCACTGTATATCTTAAAACTTGTTTTAGGGGGGAATATATTTTCTGAGTTGGTCATAAAAGAATGGTAGATTTAAAGTGTCCTCTTTGAAACCTGCGAACTACTTTTTCAAGCAGTTTATTCTTTCACTGCACAGCCCAAGCTAATACCACTTGTTCCAGTCATCCATTGATCTGCAAATTGAAAATGCAGAATACAATATTGAGAATGCTGAAATTCAAAAGTAGAATTTCATTTAATATCCAAGTGCAGAAGTAAAAATTACAAAAAAAAATTATGTTACCTGTTTTTATCAAACACAGTCATTTGTGCCACAAAAGTTTTTTCTCCATCTTCACGATTTGAAGAATTACGTTTTCTCCTAGCTGGAATTTCCTCATTGACATCTGCATTTGACAATTACATACAATTGTTAAAAAAATAAACCAGGCAATTCCAGCAGTTGGGAAGTCATTGTGGTTTGGCAAATCCTCTGGTTCGACAAAGGTTAGGTCCCAAGTGCTGGACTAGAGACATTCAATGTGTACCTATCTAAAGGCATACTATCTTTCCAGCACTGTGTTGAAACAGACATTTTTACAAACTAATGAAAGCCAATTAAGTCACCCATATTTGATTCTGGATCTGACAACCTGAGGTTCTGAAAGACAACATACATACATACATGCTAAACCTGACAAATGAACATTCAAAAACTGAACTTACCTATGTTTTCATTAGTCTCCCCATTAATCATTCCATTAAATTCTCTTCTTCCTGGACGAGTTACTCTGAATAATAATGAGTAAGATTTCACCATATGGCTGTTGCTGGGTTCAAACTCATTACTGGAAACTGCAAGTGATGGGAAGTTGCCTGGCTTTATTTGGTTGATGTCTGGGTTCAAAGGCACCTGCTTTTTACCTGTAGGAACTTGCCTTATTGGACAACTGACATCCTGCAAACATAAAACAAACAAGTTTTTAATATTTGGGGTATTTATTAAATGGAAATTCTTCATTATTGTGAAAGCATGTAAAATTTAATTGCACCTTCCCCACTATCATTTTGGAAATAATGATGCTGCCTAAAATAATATCTCTTGGTATGACTAGATTCAAATTTCAAGGAATTACCGATCAAAGAACGTTCTCAGGTTTTGTATACATAAACACATTTGAAAATGTAGTTAAAAGAAGCATTTTATAATCACTTCTGGGAGCAGCCATCTTTCTGGAAAGTCTCAGAGGGGTAGCTGCATTAGTCTCTAAGGTGCCACAGGCCTACTCATTTTTTTTAAAGGTTGTTTTTAAAGTTATAGACTAACAAAAATATATGTATAGTATCATGCACTGCC